CCACACTGGATTTCAGATAATGTCTTTTGTGTTGAACTTCTACTCTGCAGAAGGGTAATACTTTGCTTTGTTTGATACTGTTGCCTTCTGTGGTGATTTGTTACAACAGAAAAGTGTTGCAATCACCAAGTGAATCCAGCAGTTAAAACACTAATAGAATAAACAAAGCCATCCTCACCAATAAAGTGAATGCTCAGTATTATGTAGTTCCTGATATGACTCAGTAGAAAACACATATTATTAAAGCATTAATCTCACCAAATATAGTGAGCTAAATCTACTCTATGGTCACCGTATGATTTCTCATTTATAAAAGCTAAAGGGGTTAGGAGAAAATTATAATTATTTGAGAAATCAATGAGACGAATACAAAATGATGTATCACCTACAACAAATGGCCCAGAATGTTCAAAAAGTCCATGTCTTGAGAAAATCAAGAAGGTGGAATATAGATACATTCAAATGCAATTTGTGAACTCTGAGTAGATCTTTGTTAAAAAATTATTTCTGAAACAAAGGTGTTTCAGTAACTTTTCTCTCACTGCTGAGACAAAATACTTGATGCCCAAAATTAGGGAAGGAAAAGACTATTTATCTTACAGTTTTGGAGGTTTTAATCCATACTCCGCTGGTTTCAAGGCAGGGTGCTGCAGCGGAAGTGCAACTGTTTATGGTAGCTGCAAGTAACAAGAGTGAAAACACAAAAGGGGAAGGAAACACAGCTTCTTCCCTCCCTTATATGGTATGTCAGCTCCGCCCCTGGGCGGGTGTAGCACTCACACCGCCAATCCCAGCACTGGACTGAACCAATCACAAGTGCTAGAGTCGTACTTCCATGACTACATGAGGCTTGGGGGGTCACCTAGGCATAAACCATAAGAAAAGACATTTTGGAACAAGTGGATAATGTGAAAATAAATTACAAATTTAGATACTAGATTATGTAGACATTCAAAATATTTTTAGATATTAAAATGGCATTAAAGTAATGTCAAAAATCCTTAAATTGAAGAGACGTATATAAGATGTGATTGCAATACATGGTGAATGCTTAAATTTAAAATGTTTTTTAAAGTAAAAGATATATTGTAATTCATTGCCCTCAAAATACTCCCTTTTTTGTCTGAACCCATTAATGTCATCATTCTTACCTTTTCTGAAGCAGTACTCGAAGCTGGCTTTCATGAGTGTCTTTAGTGGCACTGTCGTCATTCTGAAATACATTTCATCATCATTTTGACTTTGGAGAAAAGTGAGAAAGATTTGATGGAATGCCAGATTTGGTGAATAAAGTAGATGAAACCACACTGGAATGTTTTTACTTGTCATAAATTGCTGTAAACAATTTATCAATGAGAATGCTCAAATAATATGGTGAATATTTAAATTAAAAATATATAATGGCAAAAGAAACATGGGCATTCATCTTTCTCAAAATATTCTCTCTCACTTCTAACCCACATCTCATTATTCTTGGCATTGCATGCTTTACAGTAATGTGATTTTTAAATTTAAGCAATAACTGTATTTTTCAATCATCATATACTTTAATACTTAATAATGTAATATTATTTCTCCCAGAGCTTATTTTAAAGAACCAAGAAAAACACTGAAAGGAAGCAAAATGTTCACAATTATTTAATGTTATTAACTAATATGTTTACTAAGCTTTCAGGTTACCTTAATACATTAAGTAATTTTCTAACTAAATGTTGAAAGAAAAAAGTAAACCATTTCAAACAATGGGAATACTTAAATAGATAATTGTTTCTGAAGATTAAAGGGCTCTGAGAAATAAAACTCAAGTTACTTAGAGCTTAGGTTGAACTGACAATTGAGTAAGCAAAGTAATATTAGTGCTCAGAAAATTTTCAGGCACTAGTGAGTCTCAACAAATGTCACCTGGTGCTCTCACTACATTCATGTACCTTGTTATTTATCAGGCTACTAAAACATTCTGAGGTCACCTGGGGCAACAGCACCCAAGTCGTGACACTCACAATGGTCAAGCAAAAACCATTACACGAGAACCCAACAATCAACAAAAGTAAAATATTAATATAAGCCACAGCAATTAGAAACCAAGGACAACTCAATAAGACACTAATGATGTACTGATAACAAAGCTTGCTTCCTGGAAACTGGGAATTCCAACAATCTTCTTGGCTCCCTAAATGGACAGAGCTTCACAGCATTGCTAAGATGTTTGCAGCAGCCAGACTTCCTGGCACCATACTGGATTAAGGTCTATAGTAAACTCCCTTAGTGCGCTAATTTTAGCTTATCAATATCACATGTTAGTAACTCTTCATAAGTCATTTAATAACCACCAACTTCCAAAGGAATTTCATGTCAGTTGCACATAGACAGGGAAGAATGAATTTCAGATTTTGGTGTGAATTCATAGGCTTTTCAAAAGAACTTTATAGCCTATTAGTAGATCTAATTTAATTTTCAGAAGACTTCATTAGATCAGAAATATCATGACAAAATATGTTTCTTCCTATATCTGTCAAGCCCACATATAAAGTCAATGTTTTAAATACTAAATACAGAATCACTTGAAATGAGTGACACATAGATACCAGTAATGGTTGCTCTTCCTTCTGTTTTCCGAAAGGTTCTTCCTGAAGGCTATTCTTCCCTCACATTTGATAGTTTTTCTCTTTAACTCTTTTCCATAATGCTAAAACATCGTTAGAACAACTATAGAAAAGATTAAAATTGGGGAATTCCTTTTTCCTAGAAACAGAAACCTCCTTGTTTTAACATTTTTCCAGGCAGGAAGCGACTGAACATGATTGGTATCAACTTCTGTGGCCCATTTTAATAAACACTTGAAATTGTTTTAAAGATCTTAATGAGCTCTCTAAGACTTTTCCTTTGTTGAAACACAGACTTCCAAATTGGGAATTCTGTCCTGAAGGACACAACCTCTCATGAGCAACTACTTTCTTTTCCTCTGTAAAGTATAGCATTGCCACACTTGAGTGAATATAACAGACGAAAGCCCCTGAAAGTAATGGGATTACTCTGGCATTACAGTTCACTGGATGGCTTTATTTTGGAAAATTCATCTCTTTTAATGTTGTTACAGTGCGGTGAAACAGTCCTAGCCAATGAGAAGTGAGTTCTGACACTCTGCAAAAGAAGAGCCTAATCAAAGTAAGAAGGATGCATGGGGGAGCAAGTAAGTTAACACACACTCTAAAATTTTCTCTCTCAAAAGATTTTTGAGTTAGGTGTCACTTTTGCAAAGACTAAAAAGAAGTTGTGATGGTAGCAAACGAAAATGATGCTCAAAATGTGTACTGCTGAACACGCACACATGCCGAGTGCCCACCTCCGGCATGGCCAACAGGGAACACGGTACATGCATGGTAAACAGTCGTGATATGGGGGATGACATTGGGCGGACTATTCTGTGAGAATGTCATGCTTGAGTAGGGTTTTGGAGGATCAGTACCCAGATAGAATGATGCCCTGAGCAAGTGTGATGCTGTCAGAAAGCCCTGAGGGATTTGGCACCCCATGGAGATGGGGCCTGGGGAGCTGACACTGAGGTTGATGAAGAGGTTGGCCTGCTTTTATGGCCTGCTCTGGCCATGTTGACATGCACAGACTGGCATCTTATGTGCTTCCCTGGAGTAATGATGTGGTGGCCACAGGAAGGGGAAAAGTGTTGGAGGACAGAATAAGAATTAATTGGCTATATCCATAATCCAGCAAAGATCTTGCAAAGGTTGAATTAAAATTAGAGTGAAAAGCCATGGAGAAATGGGTACAAATAGAAGCAAAACAGTTGTGCCCTACATTCAAACTTCTTTGGCTTCAGATCGGATGGAAAGAGTCCTGGACGGGATATGTGCACAAGCCATGATGATACTGAAGATCCAAACTTCAGCGGTGTCTTTTATATTGTCCATGGATCAACACGGTATGTTTGTTAGGAAATTTTCCTTTAACATATCTTCTCCTGAACATCAGCGTTTTTATAAGAATTGATTCCTGAAGAAGTTCCTGCGTATCATCTGTACAATGATCATGTGCATAAAATTCATACATGACTGAGGAGATTTCAGAAAATCAAGATTGCTAAACTTTAAGTAACAGTGATGAGAGGCATAAAACTTAGCATGGTAATATTCACAGCATGATTTGGTTCTCAGTGTGTCCCAAATATCTGCTATCCAAAGCCAAGCAGTAGCTTGCTTCTGTGAAATAGTCACAAAAATCAGTTATAGCTCTCTGACACAAATACACTTTAAGCTGCAACTGAAAGCCAGATTTTCAAATGACACTTGTCCAAGAAGAAATGATAAATATTGTAAGGTCCTCATTCTGTCAGCAAAACAGAGCGCACAAAGGACAAGATAGAGGGATCAATAGAGAGCTCAAGGGGGCCTCAAGTGTAGGAATGTTTTCTACAAAAAAAAATCATAAAAGTATTATGAGCTATTGTTATAGCTGTCTCAAAAAAACATAATTTCATATTATTACCTGATGAAACAGTGAAACATCAATAAAAGTAAATATCTATAAAAATAAGATTTTAAATGCATGCTATCTTTATACTATGGAATACATGCAATTGTTTTAAAATAGTATAATATTCAAATCTGAATTCACAAAAAAACTCAGTAACCAGAGAAATCAAATTGAAACAAAAAAATACAAGACAAAATTTGAAGAAGTGATACCAACTATATAGTCCAAATTTTCATTTGAGATTTCGGTCTGGATTTGTAGGTCAGTGCAAAAAGAATATTTTCACTCTAGTTCATTGCTGGATAATAGAAGTCTTCATATAACAATCATTTGAAAGTGGCTAGTGAAACTAAAGAAATGAGCTTTAAACAGTATTTACTTTTATCAGTTTATTTATTTATTGGTACTAGGAATGGAACTCATGACCCCTCATTGCCAGGCAAGCTCTGTGCCACTGATCTGTATCCCCTGACCAACAATATTTGATTTTAAATCGTTTAAAACTAACATCTCTGGTTCTGAATCCAGGCCAGCGGTTTTCTGAATCTGTTGATTTCAAGCAGGAGCCTAAAGAGATATCTTTGTATGATCTGTTGGCTGTTTTTGAACTTTAGAAGTGTAATGATCAGTTCTTTAGAAAGAAATAACTACACTCCATGCCTATGGTGAGCCCTCTCCCACAGAAAGGGAGGCCATGCCCCCCAGTGAGGCCACTGCAGCTGGCCTGGAGGAAAGGAAGCCCAGGTACTGCAGCCCACATCAGGGGATACTGATACACTGATGAGCAGCTTCTCCCACCCCTGCACCTGATTACCCGCCTGGGAACCTGGGATTGTATGACAAAGGAAGAGGGTGCAATCTCAGATCTCCATCCCACCCAGAACAAGTCCAGAATGCTTAAAAACTAACATCTATGTCCTTTGCACTTATATACTATCATGACAATAAAAAGTAAAGGAATGGGAATAAAGACTAAATCTCTAAGTTCAGATTCCTACATTTTTAATCATATAATAATAAATCATATTTCTCAAAAAGCATGGGGCTAAATAATATTTTAAAACCTGTGTATATATGAGTAATGCCAATGTATGTTTATGTAAGCATAGATTCATGTCATGAGTGTGATATAGTTATAATATATACACTCATGTGCCTCATATCTGCAAATATATTGCATATATGTCTCAAGGACTCATAGGAGTTATATGGTCCTTTATGGAGACGGACGTGACTATGTCCCTGGAAAGTATTACTATAAGCATTACTGAGCCATGTTGCTTTTGTGATGTTGCAACATGACATCTTAAAATTTACCTAATCTGTCAATTTAAATTTTGGACAGAATATAGATTGACAGAATTCAATGTTAAATAGGAGGACTCAGTTTCTCTGATGATAAGCCAAAGCCATCAGATCTTTAAGAGAATTTGAATCTCGTGATGGAGATATGAGATATTGAAGTCCCTTTCTCCTTATGAAACATGTCATTTGGCTCAATAGTATGAATGCCAGCCTACACCTTTCAATCTCTCTGATGTGGCAACACTTTACTTCTTGATATAGTTTCTAAAGGTAGCAGTTCACCACTATTTCTTAGTGATCAGTGGATTATTCAGGAAGAAATTTCTAGGCCATGTCACATCTCAGTCTGTGCTAAGCAGACATCTATGAAGCCCTGACAAAGAAAAATGGGAGTTTTGAAATTCAGAGATGCTCCATAAAGCTGTAAGATATTGTGGTAAATGTCAGGTTCCTACACAAATGGGATACAATTTAAATCTTGGGTTGACTGGAACTAGGGTTTGAACACACAGTATGCTAGGGAAGCATTACAGCGCTAAACTTCACCTCAACAAAATAGGATATGACTTAAATTTTCAGATTTGAAATAAGGAAGCCAAGTTGGTTCTTTGAGAAGGGAAGACAAAAGTGTCCTGAGCCAGTTTCAGTGACCAGAGGAGTTAGGTGTACACACACACACACACACACACACACACACACACACACACACACGCGAGGACCTGGCATGCCTTTATACCATAGTACTACAGCCAAAGTTGTTATTTCCAAGTAAAATAACTCAACAGTAAACAGGAACCCTTTAAGGAACTAGCTAAATAGTGCACTTTCTAAGAAAAAGATTATCTTACCTAAGTACAGTTGTGATGATACATTTTAGATTTATTCAACATATTGTGCTGTTGTATTTGAAAATGCTAATAAGTCTCTAAAGATGCTTTATGCATGAGAAAAATGAAAAGTGCCAATTGTGAAAAAATTGCACCAATATGTGAGATAATGCTAAGACATACAATGGTATTCTTTCAAGTACGCTTTCAAGGAAGTTGTATAGGAACATAGTATAAAGGATGTACAGTTTGCCTGGTTTTTTGTTTGTTTGTTTTGCTTTTTTTCACTTAATGTCCATTAAATTGACAAAGCCTTTTATATTTGCAAAAGCCATTCCGAGGAAGCTCTGGAGAAGTGGCATCTTCGTAGTGTGTTTAAAAAGCAACCAGAATTAATGGATAGGGCTGGAACATAATGCTGATAGCTTCTAATCTACCATTGCAGTTACTGGGAAAAATCAACCTTTTTCAATAGTAGGCCTCAGAGAACATACACATTAAAAATTACATTCAAGGGGAGTCATCGTTTGTATAATTGTTCAATTTAGCATGTTTGAAAAGTTTGATATAGCAAAATGAAAAATATCCTTATCCACTGAAATCGTAAAAGTACCTTTAATCCCAAGTTTATAATACATCATGGAAATGATGCATTGAATTTGAATCTCTGTTAACTTGCATGACATCATGGGCCATGTGAGAGAGCTGAAATTAATCAAGGCAATTCTGTTGTATGACCTGCTTTGGCATGTTCATCTGATGAAGCCAGGAAATGGGCTGGCTAATAGTCCATTTTGGAGTATTCTAAGATCTTAGCAATTCCATATTTAAGGAGGTTAATAGGATACTAATTGGGGCCTAGGTGAATAGTTCACAAGAAAAATGAACTCACCTGGCTATGAGGCATATGCACAGCCCAGTGCCTCCCTCCCTTTGCAACTGCTTTTTCCAAATGGCTTCACCTTGTAACTCAGAGGGGAAGAAATCTTGCACCTTGGTGGTTTTTCACAGCCAGAAAGAAGTCTGTCTTCTGGCCCCTGGGTAACAGTGACTGGTCAAATGCTAGGGTCGCCGACCACTAGCAAGGTCAGCATTCTACCTCTTATGAAGTAGAAGTAAAGAAGAAAGCTCAAAGGTAGAAAATATAGATTGTAAATCAAAAAAGTTACTGTGGGTTTTCAATAGAAATTTACTTTGTTTATGGTAAGGATTTCCAATCTTGAAAAAACTGACTTTCATTCATAACATCTTGCAGAAATAGAAGTAAAACCTATCTGTTTGTTTTTTAAACAAAGATGTGAAGATTTCAGGTTTGGGCCACTTTTACTGTATGCACCAGTTAGTGGCTGGCTTATCATTAGCACCAGTAAAGATGAGATAATCATATTATTTCTCCTGAAAATATTTGCAATAACCCGTGAATGACTTGGAAAATTTATCAATATAAAAAATAACAGTTCTCTGAAATATTTTAGGATTTCCCTACTGCCTGCAATTCTCAGGCAATCTTAGACTCTCTGAAAGGTGTCTTTTAGTTGTCATTTCTTGCCTAGCTCTCATTAGAGTGTATCCATAGATAGCACATTGTACTTTCTCTAATGTCTCCTTACCTTTTATGTGCAGAAAGAGTTAAGGATTTTTCTACCCTAAAAGCTTATGGCATGTCTTTCCCTTTCCCTCTCAATGTGCAATCCATCTTCCAAGTTTCCAGAAGCGGCTGAGATTTTTAAAAAAACAGCTGTAATCTGCGGTCATTGATGGTGGAGTAGATTGTTTGCCAAACTATTACCATAACTGTCAACCGAAATCAGAAAAATAATCTCATTGTGCTGGACAGATGCGTTTCCTGCATTATTGATATAGTCACTCCAGAGTAATAGAGAAATATAAAGCATTGTTCTATTTACAAAAGGAGATTGGCCAAGTCCTTGAAAGTGAGCACGAGGGACAGGCACTTACAGGAAGTGAGATATAGTCAACTCAGTAAAAGTTATGTGTCACGGTCACATGACCTCCGTCACCAGCAGTAGAATCTCAGAAGCCTCCCTCCCTTCTGTCCCCTTCACTCTCAGGCTAGTGTTGTGATTTGCTTTCATTTTCAAAAGGTCCTCAGAGTGGCTAAAAATGAGTCCTGTGGAATTAGAGTCCTGTTGTTTATCTCACCCATACACCAAGCATTTCCCCAAATATGCAAACTGCTCTCCTGTGTTCACTACACACCTCTGGGCTGCAAATGAATTGGTCTAAATCACTGTATTAAAGAGTAATTGAATTTATTTCAAGCAGATGATCCCCAACCTCCCTCTGGAGAAACGAGCTAAATATGCCTCTTGCCAAGTAGTTTTGCAAGAAGGGTCAGTGGTCTTATACGCTGAGCAACTACTCCACCATAATTTGAGTTGTTAATAATGCTGAGTGCTTCTATTGGGGGAGTGCACAAGCACCAGGAAATACCAGGCACTTCACATTCATTATCTTTAATCCATAGAACATGCAGCCTAAGACAGAGAATCTCTATGGAACTGTTCAAGAGATAAATGTTCAAGGAGGTTCTGTAGATCGTACAGTGTAGACAGAGCTTTTAAATATTTGGTCTGGAATTTGAATCTAGATATCTCTCTAGAGCACTTTTCTAATGGGTCACACTCCCTTCTGTCTTTTCGAGATGCAAGCAAAAATATATTATAGACTGGACTATCTCTACCTGCCTAATGTACCTCCCTCAAATACATGTAAAATACATGTTATGGCATAAGGACAAAGCCTCATTTTTTCTTACAGAAATACAGGTCAGTGTCGTTGCTGCCTAGAACCTGCACTGAAGGTTACCTACCAAGATCTGGGTAGGGCGAGGGCCAGAAAAGCTCAGTACAAGCTTCAAAATAAATGCCTTACATGCATCACGATGTGTCCTCAGCAAAATGTTTCCAGATATTTTGGGGCAGAAGGTCTTGCACTCTAACAGCTCCATTCTGAGTACAGAGCAGGGAGGCAGGCAATCAAAGCTCTTATGTAGGTAACTCAAAGCCACTGTGACTTAGTTTCCTTTCCTGTAATACAATACACAATGCTGGCATTCTGTACAAATGACATGAGGAAGAGAAGCCGAAAGTCTCATAAAATGTGAAATGGTGTCTTTAGTGGAAATTTCAGTTCATATTAAAACTACAAATCAGATGGCAAATCCAGTACCTCCCAAGTTCTGTCATCATTGCTGGCCTTCTCTTGTTAATTGGTATTTCCAGGGTGATGGGTTGGTAGAATCTTGAGATTTCAAGGGAAAACTGAGTTGGCTCAAGAGAAGGTTGAAAGCCCTACGATCTTCTTGTTTGAAGGGTTGCTGCACTGAAGCTCTTTCTTGGCTGGGTAAAAGGAAACAGGAATCAAAACATATGCATAAATCATTGCTGGGAGGGTGGGCTCTGGAATATACAGCGAATACTGAGAAACTTCCTCCTGAGATCCAGTGATGACAAACCTTTTAGAGATTGAGTACCCAAACTACAACCGCAAACTC